GTTGGGATGTTTTCGTGATGCGCATTTTCTTTGCATAAAACTCTCTCTTATACATGAGTTGCTGTGGATTTGTTTCTCCAAAGTACCCAGACTAATACAATATGTAAGATAGGACTCACCCATTGAATGAGTAGGTCCATCAGAAATGTACAAATTCATAGATCATAGCTTCGTTGTAGATTTCTAAAGTGCTAAAGTCCTTGTAGAAATGTATGTTTTTATAACTATAAAACACTTTAAGCATGCATACACTGTCTACCTTTTATAGTGGTAAATTACAAGTCAAAGAACAGCCTATTAAAATTTAAGGAAGTTTAGGGGAGACAACATGGCAGTTTCGCCGTGAGGACCGTCAAGCAGGGATGAAAATAGATGTGCCTGGAAGCAGATGTTTCGAAGAGTTTCTCGGCATAACATCATTTGCCATACCGTCTTAAACACGCATCTTGGTACACCATGGCAGTAGCAGCAGTAACATGGGCACTATCAAACAGAACTGTCCTGAAACATTTCTTATCAGTTCGAAATGGAGTTTTATACAGTGTTTGTCATCAATCTACACCGCCTCTCCCAGATGATTGCCATTGCAAGGTAGAGCTTGCTTTGGCATCAGATGGCAGGACAATAGTATGCTACCACCCTTCTGTGGACATTCCATATGAACATACAACACCTGTTCCTCGGCCAGATCCTCTACATAACAGTGAAGAAACACATGATCATGTGCTGAAAACTACATTAGAAGTGAAAGATGAGCCCCTTAAACAACAAGAACCTATGATAGAACAACTTAGCAGAATGTTCTTTATTACGAAGCACCATTGGTATCCTCATGGGCAGTATCACAGATGTCGTAAGAAATTGAATCCTCCAAAAGACAGGTGATTTTGAGGTTCTCATTGGGAATCATAGAGAAATGTTACCTTTTGCCTCATTTACAACTTGAAAAAAATATCCGACGTAGTCCCTACTATGTTACAAATAAACTAATTTTTTTAAATAAATAAATAAATAAAAATTTAAGGAAATTTAATTGAGACATTTACTAAGTTCCTTAATAAAACTCATAAATTAAATGCATAAAAATCTGTTATATTTTAATTTCATTATATAGAAAGTCTTCACTCTAAAGGATTTTTTTTAATGCATGCATCTTTGGTCAAGATCTTTACATTGATTCAAGATAGAAGATGGCAAGGTTAAGCCTTGTTCCTGTTTTCTAGATCAGTGCATTGGATCTTGGCAGTGCTTACATCTTGGCAGGAAACTGAAGACCAGGTTTATTCTCATTTTCTTCCCATGCCATTTCTATCATTCACTAATTACTACAATTACAAAGTTATTTAATTAATTTTAAATAACAAAAGCCACAAAGTAGTGAGACATTTTCATTTTCTCGGTTTCACTCCCTTTTATTATTAATAATAACTTCAATACATTCTTCAAATTATTATCATAAGTACCATCTTTTTCTTCCACAACTTTATTTTTTTAATTGTATTAAATTTTCACATAAATTAACATGGATAAATACCTCCAGAACAGGTGTTAGTTCACTCCAGATGTATCTCAGAAATATAAAAAGTGGTTGTAACCCACGTTCCCAGAGAAACTGACTCGGAAATTATGACTCATTGAGGTCATTTTTCTTCATCAAGGCCTAGATTATTGTGTTTTAGTTTGCACTATTGAATAATTCTCTTGACTTTTTTCCTATGAGCAAGAAAGGCCTTTTGTTTTAAAAAAAAAAACTATTTTCTATATTATTTTGTCAGAAATTATAGATTATGTTAAACTGCATTAATATAATATCTTTGATATATATTCTGGGTAACTTATCTGAACATACTTGGACAGTCTATATTAAAATGGAGAGTCTTCCTACAAGAAAGCCATGCCTAGTTATAATTAACATCTCAAAGTTAAGACAAAGATAAAAACGAATCATCCAGATAAAGGAGACCATCAGCATGAGGCCATAATGATGTCCGTAGGCTCAACAGCCATGGGGTAAATTATAAAGCATAGAAAACAAAAGAAATTCATCAAAAAATATGATTGGCAGAAATCGATTCATCAACTACCCAGGCAGTACTGTGAAGGTGGGAAAGGGACCGTGACTGATTACATGCATCAGTGCAGATTAGAAAAGCTCACAGGATTGAATCTGGTCTCCTGGGTCAGGGTATGATTTATGACCTATCAACCCTGCTACCGCAATTTCCAGTAAGGGCTTACCCAGGCAAGTCCTGCGGTCAGGATTGCTCCTTCCTGGGCTGCCAGGGGAGTCACAGCAATTCACTTTCAAACACATTCTGCTTGTGTGCACAACTGTTAGGTAAATGTTGCACAGCTAACTGAAAGGTCAGAAGTTCAAACTCAAGGGCCCTCCTCTGCAAAAGCATGAGGCTTTCTGCTCCCATAAAAATTAAGAACCGGGGAGGAGGAGAGACTGGAGCACATCCTG